GTGCAAGAAAAACTTTCATAACTTCAAGAGCTCAGGGAGAAGTTATAACAGAGATTACTCTAAAAATATACAAATATATTTATAAGTCAGTAAGTTGAACACATGGTAAGGGGCAAGTTATATTATGCTATTTTCTCATGGAAGCATTCTCCAAATCATTTTTACAATAAAATTACATTTTTATGTCTTTAAACAAAGTATCTTTTTTTATTTCAAGGGTGGCATGAGATGGACCTGGACCTCCACCTCCAGCCAGGAGGCAATTAACTAGTACCTTTCCTTGCCATCACTGCCATACCCAGCTACCGCATTAAACAAGTAGGGTATTTTGTTTTCAGGCACTGAGCAACACACAACTCAGGACTATGATCTTTCTGAGAGGTAGACTGCTCAAAGAGAGTTCCATGCATACTACAGCTTCCCAATGAGGGCAGGGAGCATGTTTCAGACTGTGTTTCAAAGAGGTGAATAAAGACAAAGTGATGGGCTAGGGAAGGATGTACTGGAGTTGAATCTGCAGAATGTGATGTGTAGCAGATGAATGTATAAGGATGAAGACCCAGTGATGCCCAGAAGTGGGCAAGTCCGCCTCATTCGGCCCCACATCAGTTGACTTGAATTCAACCCAAGCATTCTTAACTGAACAGAGAGAATGACGAAGCATCTTCATTCTACTTGGAATAAGTCACATGAGAAAATGGAAAGTGGTTGGTTGACCATGTCTCAGTACATAAAAAAAACAAAATCAGTAGAAATTTTATGAGGTTCTCAAGTACTCTGCTTTGTAATCATTTAGAACTTAATACTTTTGAATGTGTTTGACTAGACATGAAAGATATCTGACTGCCCTAGTCACTCTTCCAACCAATACCTCAAATAATTATTCTATTTGATGCAAATGGGAGAAACTACAAATTGCATGCTGCTTAATGTAGGAAATAAGAAATGTGGATTTCCACATCGCAGAAGCTCTGATGAACTAAGTTAAATTGCTTACAAGAGAGAGAAAACTGACCAACTTAATTCCTGAAATAGCTATTTGCTCAATTATTATTCAGAGGCAGCGTTTCTGTCTGCCATTTTCTTTGACTAGTAATTCATTGGCCTCAGGGTTTGAAACAAGTCTTGGGTTTCCACTATGCATCCTGCTGGTGTGTGCTACAAAAATACTCCCCTTCTATGGCACATGTTATGTCAGTTAAGTAAAGACTTATGCACAGAAACTGATGATGATCATAGTCTCACTTTATTGATGCAATATGAAATATGCCTTAGAGACTCCTAACTGTTCACTGTTTGTCTGCCCTGAATAAGCTAGCATGAGCACAAAAATTATTACATCTTGCAAAGTTTTCAAAGTATGTGGGATGTAAGACATTTTTAACTTACATCTTCATATTATTAAATTAAAGTGATCATTGCCTGGGAATCTAATGCAATGATTTTTAGGCATGGTTTTATAAAGCCTCAAAACATCATTAATCATATTTAAAAGTAGCATAAGTTTATGCTCCTAAGTCACTTAAGAACAAAATTTAATTTCCATTTAAAGTTATTTTGGAGAATCATATTGTGTGCAACACTTTTATAAATATCTCAAATGATAAAATAGTAGAAATAAATAGGCTAAGTAAGAAATAAGCCAGTCACTGGCTCATGCCTAATGAACCTAGCCATTCAGGGGGCTGAGATCTGGTGTTCCAATTAGCCCACTAGGCAAATCCTTGAGATTTTCCCCTCCAATTAACTATCAAAAAGCTGGAGGTAGAGCTGAGGTACAAGAATGTCAGACCTGAGCAAAAATTAAGAGACATTCCTAAGTTCAAGCCCTAGTACAAGGGAGAGAGGGAGGGAGGGAGAAAGGGAGGATAAGAAGGGAAAGAAAAGAAAAGGAAGGAAGGAAGGAAGGAAGGAAGGAAGGAAGGAAGGAAGGAAGGAAGGAAGGAAAGGAGGGAGGGAGGGAGGGAAGGAGGGAGGGAGGGAAGGAGGGAGGGAGGGAAAGAGTAAAGGAGGGAAGGAGGAAAAGAAGGAAAGAATGAAGAATGAAAAATAGAAAGCAGGAACTAAACTGAGTCTTAGCCACACAGATGAAAAAACAGGGATTCTCAGTATCATGTGGCTTAGTGGTAGAGTGCTTGCCTAGCATGCATGAAGCCCTGGGTTTGATTCCTCAGTACTACATAAGCAGAAAAGGCCAGAAGTGGTGCTGTGGCTCAAGTGGTAGAACACTAGCCTTAAGCAAAAGAAGCTCAGGGACAGTGCCTAGGCCCTGAGTTCAAGCCACAAAACTGGAAATAAAAAGAGCCTTCTTACATTCTCTATATAGAATCTTGGTGCAAAGAGTTTTCTGTTTCTTAGTTACAGAATCCACAAGGGGGACATATGATAGTGATTATTTTCAACTGAAAGCAAATCTGTGTCACCAATTTCATGTCTCAACACCATAAAACACAGACGATGAAGTTGACAGTTACTTATTTTGATTTATGACTTATCAAAGGAAATTTTAGCTTGCATCATTGTTACTTAAAATCTGGGGCAGAAATTAAAATTGTGGTGATCAGTGGTGGTGCTTCTGAATAAATTTAGATTCTTACAAGAGCTACTCTGTTCTCTAGATACAGTGAGAAACAGGGAGGAAGATCCTGGAAGTTTAGACAAGAATATCCACTTGTAGCTTGGGCACAGGTGGCTATGCCTGAAATGCTAGCAACTCAAGAAGTTGAGATCTATGGATCATTGTTCAAAGATGGCCTAGGCAGAAAAATGTGTAAGATTTATCTCCAACTAACCAGCAAACTGGAAGTTGATCTGTGACTCATGTGGTAGAATGTTAACCTTGTGAAAAAGCTAAGAGGCAGCATACAGGCCCTAAGTTCAAGTCTTAGTACTCACACAGACACAGACACACACACACTCACATATACACCACATACAGAATGCTACTTTATGAGTGATACTTCTTCACTCATTTTCCAGCATGAAAAGAAATAGACTATAAATTGGTTTGATTTCCTGGTTTCATGAAGAACAAATAATAATTCTACTTTCCAAAACAAGCTCGATCATGATCATAATTATTGGCCTAAGAATTTGTGTCACATCCTCCTTTTAGTAAGAGAGAACTTATTATCTATTTTCTCCCTTAAATTACATAAAGTATATTTCCATGCTTAAAAATTAACCACTCATCACTGCTAATGGGGATTATGTAATAAGTGCTCAGCAAAAATACAAAACATATAATTTTGTTGTGAGTTTTGGAGTGATCTAAAGCATTTATGAAACAATTTTGCCATCACTGAAGGGATGCACTTGATAACTATCAGTTTGCTCTTATTTCCTAATAATGTAGAAAGTTTACATATATTCTGAATTCCATTATTACCACTTGGAAAGAATCTTGGCAGCTTTTAAATACATTAATGAGAACAGTAGCTATTAGAAATAATTCACATATTTCCTTGGCTATTTGCCCTTTATTTTCTAGAAAGAACAACAAATACACTCTCGAAATGTATTTATTCTATGAGTCTGTCAACTCTATGAATTCACTATTGCGTAAGATAATTATGCTTCTGCTTTTTTTCTTTGCGTTTTTCTTAGTTATATGGGATTATGTACAGTCTATATTCATTACACTAAGGGCAAAGGAAAGAATTCTGCTACCCCCAGCAAGTCTATTTTGTTAACACATTTGGCAGAAACAAGACAATTGTAGGACTGACACCTTTGAGCATGCTTCAGCTGGAACAGTACAATGTTAAGTTAAAGTTGTGCAGAAAAACTTTAAAATCTGCAAACCCTAGTTAGCGGAAAAACCTCCCGTCTGACGAAGGAGAGGAAGACTTATTTGACTCTGTCCCCTCTGCCTTTTTGTGCAGAAGCTTTAATTCACCTTCTCTTCCCACCCCCTCGATCTCTTTTGCTGGCTCTTAGTCTCTGAGAAGCAGCCCTCACCTGCTCCATTCTCCGGGGACATGCTAGCTCTTCCCCTAGACAGGTTTCCAACTGGCTCAGAAGCCCAGAAATTGCAACTCTTCAGAAACAGCTACTGATGCCTGGGGGGACTCTGGGAACAACCTTCCCTCCCACTTAATCTCTGCTCCTGCTGGGGTGGACTTTGGGACCTAGAAGGGAGGAAACCACAGCCTTCTCTCTCCCAGGGCCGAACTACCTGCCCCACACGCCCCACCCCTGCCCAGCGCCCTGGCAACCGGCGACGCTCCGCTGGCGCCAGCTTTCAGCCTGCTGGTAGCGTTCTTTCTCTCTGTTGTCCTCGCGCTCTTTTTCCTCCTGCTGTATTTAGTCAATTATTCGATGGCGAAAGCAACAACCCAGAGCTCTCGCTCGTTGCATCTTCCTTCCCATAAAGCGTATATGTGCTTTTCCAGAACCTTTCTCCGTCCCCAACCCCCCCCCCCCCCGCAGCCAGGTAGGATCTGTGAAGCCAAAGGCCCCTAGGCTCACCCAGAGATCCATCAGTGTCAATGTTGACCAATTTCATCCCACACGTTCGCGCCCACGAGAAGCTTCTCTAATCCTATTTCTCCCCACCCTTCGGGGTTCCACAGGCGCCCACGTTTTAGGAAAAGGAAATTCGACACGCAAGAAGAGTGTGGAACCCAAGAAACAAGTGTGAGTGTGTAAGGCAATCAAAGGTGTCCGTGTGTGAGCACGGCCTGTCGGTCCCGAACAGGTGGCTACGACTGTGCCGGCCGGTCAGAAGTCTCAGAACTACGCCGCCGGGCTCGGGCTGGCGCCTCCGGGCTCACCTGTCCGTGGGCAGGTGACTGGCGGAGCGCCAGGCTGGCCGCGTTCCCGGACACCTGGCCAGGACGGTGGGAATGCCAACCATGTGGGGTCGGGGGCGCCCTCTCCCGCCGCCACTAGTTCTCCGCCCTGCCTCTCCCTCGGGGCGGGGGGGGGTGCTCTTGATTTCTTTCTGAACCCCTTCCCCCTCCCCGAGACAGAAGGACCGTTTCCCTCGGGCGCCTTACCTCAAACAGAGGACCGATCTTGTTCTTCTCCAGGTAAGCCTGGATTCGGGTTTGCTGCCGAGACGCCATGGAGAGCCGATGGAAGGCACCTCCGCGGGTCCTGGGGCCGGGACCAGAGCTCCGGAGCTCAGGCTTCCCGGCGTG